AAGTGACGTAAATGGTTAATGATTGGTTGCTTGTAATTTCAAGATCAGCAGTGGCAGTTTCTTAATGTGTTTATTTGTTGCATGTTTGGCGGATTTTTTTTGCTTCAGGATCACCTGCCGGAATAGTACTATTTCAGTAGGGTCTCTTGGGTGAACAAGTTGCAATACCCGAAACTTGTTATGACCCGAAGTCATAACATCACTGACAAGGCGATCCTGTGCACTCGGAGTGTTTTCATAACAAATATATACAGGATGTGGCAAAAAATAAATTATAGCAGTTTAAGATGGATTAAGATTAATTATAGTTTACATGTTTGGGAATGGTTAAATCTTAATTTCAAGCTGAGATGGATCGGATAATGTGGATCAGTCAAGTGGCTATCATGATCACCAGATCTAACAACACCAGACTTTTTCTTGTGGACTGTACTGAAAGATCTTGTTTACAGGCTCAAACCAAAAACAATTCCTGAATTAAAACAAGCAATTTTTGATAAATTAATTTAAATTAACATAGCAATGTGTTGAATACTTTCAAGAAGTGTTGCTGATGTGATTCAACATTGTATCGAACATGAAGGGACACATTCTGAATATGTTAAATAGTTTGTTAACCATAACAAATCATGTTCTTTTCATGTGACAATACTTATAAATTTTCTTAAACTACAGTAATTTATTTTTACACTATTTACTTTATTCGGACCCTGTACGCTCCGGCCTTCTTTAAGTAGTTGGAATGTCGAACTGAACCCTTTATTTCACTCACTGGGATAGACTGTTCTAGTTCTACATGCCATATTTAATGGATGTCAGTTATCAGTTATCTCCTGTTAATTCCCATCTCCAAGTTCTCCACTGCCATAACCAGGTATTGAACTCACAATCTATGAGATCTGTCACTGAATTTAACCAATGCCTTTATCCACTGTGGATGAATAAAGGGTTCAGTTTGATATTCCAACCATCTGAAGACGGCCGAAACGTTGTAATAAATATGTTGACAAAGATGAGGACAATAGTTTGAATAATGTAAATAGTGTACATAATACCTCATCTCAGAAATATAGACAGATACAAATACATGTGAAAATAATAGAAGCACTAATAATAAAAAAAGCCATGAACATGGCTACAATCTGCTGACCATGTTTGGAAAATAAAAAAAAATTCTATAACTCTAGATACATATATATATAAAAAATCAGTACATTCAGTTAATGAGTAAAAAATTAGTTAAATGCACTCAGATATGCAAAACATTTGGACAATTTTTCCAAACTTTATGTCCAGAAAAAAAAACACTTATATGAAGACAAGAAAAATTAAATAAAAAGCTTAATCATAGAAACTTGTTAGTCATCTTTAATGAAACTTGTATAAAGGAGGGATTACTGCCTAAATACGTAATTATATATATATATATATATATATATATATATGTGTGTGTGTGTGTGTGTGTGTGTGTGTGTGTGTGATTCACAGACACTACTGTTTCACTGCATCATAGCTCCTTAGTGTGACTAGACATCCAAATGCCTCAAGTCCGGATCAAAACCCAACCAATTTAGTGTCAGTCTGAGTTTCTACCACTGAGTTAACTTCATTCGACAGAGAGAAACAGCTAAATCTAGCATATTGTTTTTACGAATGTAAACAAATGCCAGTCAACTGAAATACTCCAATTCAATTTAACTGAAGACGTTTGCATTAGCGCAGGTGGCAGTTGTTTATAGAATTAGCCTATTACTCAACAGTGCTCAATTGAAATATATTTTCAAGAGGTAATAATAAATATACATATTATTCCTCACTTGTAGCATGACTTGGAGTTCCATGCACAATGCAATCTTCAGTTTCTGAGTATAAACAAACTGTTATGTAATTTAAATTTTAATAAAAATATCTGGTTAATGCAATGTTGACACAGTCCATATATTATATGTCGATTAATTTTGTATATAAAATAGATGGGATTCATATTTTATATTGGAAATAAATGGGAGTTAATATTATTTTTTAAATTTCTATTAATCTATACAGACCTAAAACTATAAAAAAAATGTGCAATCTATATATATATATATATATATATATATATATATTATAATACCCCCACCTCTACTGGATGTCTGAAAATGATTTTCTTAAACATTGATTAAACATAAATAAATTTTTTTGAACATGTTTACTGTTTTTTTTCTCATCTTTCAAACAACTTTAAAATTCAAATTTTAAGTTAAAATTTCCCTCCAGGCATTTTACCTCTTCCTTCAAGAATAAAATAAATTAAAAATAAATTTTAAAAAAAGAACAGAAAATAAAGAAATCAAAATCCCCAAAATGAATAAAAGAAGCAATAAAATTAAAATAATAAAATTTTATTTTATTTCAATTTCTTTGATAGAAATGATTTTTGAAGAGAATTAAATATTAAGATGTTAATAACATTGTTTGACATATTCACACGATATGGATGAAACAAAACTGGAACGGCCTATGGTCATATCATGTTAAAACCACTGGTTCCTGGATGATCTCAGAAGTTAAGCAATATTGAGCCTAGTCAGTGCCGAAATGGGTGATTACTTGGGAATACCAGGTGCTGTAACCTTCAGTGTGTGGTATAATGGCTTGGAATTGTTAATCAGAGATCTGAGTTCCAATTCCAATTGGGTTTGTTATATTCACTTACATTCAAATACCCTTGAATCCATCTCTTTTATTACTAAACCATTATTATCTCAAAAAAAACTATTACAATTGAAAAATATTATCTGGCTTTAAATAACCTGCAAAGGGTTGATAAGTCATAAAAAATGAGACAATCCATCAAAACAAAATTGAAAATTCAGTTACTGAATGGATAAATTGGAAAAAGGAATCCCATATGAAAATATGGATCATAACAAATGTTACTTGGATTTACAGTGGAGTAATGAATAATAAACATGCTGTGGAGTACCTGCAAGACAAAAAAATTCAATCCACCCCAACTATGGGTTAAATAGCCTAACCAACACACAATTGGCCAAACATGGTGAGTACAGAAAGCCCTTTTGAAAACAAGGGAGGGTTTTCTGGATTAGGATTTCGATTTGCTGCAAACGTTATATAGCAATTATATTTACTACATTTTTTCCTGGTAAATATTTTGATTTACAAAATAGGCACAATAAAAACAAATACCGATAATAAAATATTAGGTTCTCTTATTAGTAATTTCCTTTATTAGTAATTATTATTAGTTATCTTATTAGTAATTATTATTAGTTATCTTATTAGTAATTTAATGACTAGGGTCACATTTATAACTATATATATATATATATATATTATAAAGAGATAATCCTACATTGAATCAGTTAGCAATATTAATGCAATTAATGGCGAAATCTCTTTACTAACAGACTTAATATAAGCATTAACCTACTAACAATCCACTGAAAGATGCAATCCGTATGTATAAAATTGTTGTCAGATGGATCTGGCGTATTTTTAAAGCAGCAAGTACTTTCAAGAACCTCATGTCCTCATCATCAGGCTGTAATTTTTTCCTTTAAAATCAAAACTTGAAGACGAAATAAATGTATTGTAGACTGAAAGATATTTTTATAAGAATGTGTTATTTATTAATGGTTATTTATTAACAGTTATATAATAATGGAACACGCAAGTCACAACGCTAAAGTTCAAATATTTCAAGTGAGAATTTTTTATATGAATTTTGTAATTTGGTAAATACGTTACACCTATCTGATCACAGCTCCATCAGAACACATTTAAACACACACTCAGATTTACCCGACACTATTATGAACATACTTAGTAGAAAACACAAATATATTAACTGCATCCACTTGCAAAAAAAGACTAAAAATAATGGAAGCTTTAATAATAAAATAGAAAAAGCCAACTCTTAACAATATTAACTATGAACAAAGCCATAATGTGCTAACCGTATTCGGAAATTAAAAACATTACTACCACACACTGAACATACACAGAATGCACACACTCTACTAAGCTGATAATCGAATCATCCTTGATAATGGCTAAAGATATAGCCGAAAGCGCTCGGAAATATAAAACATTTGAACAGTTCTTACACACCCTTTGTCCAGAAAAGAAAGCTCTTGTCAGAACACAAGAAAAATTAAATAAAAAGCTCAACCGTAGTACCTTGTCTGTCGTTTTTAATGAAACATGCATAAAGGAAGGATTGCTGCCTAAATATACAACTATATATATATATATATATATATATATATATATATATATATAAGAATCTAAATGAAATCAGCCACATTATATTACCCAAAATGCATATTAAAAAAAATTACAGTGTCTCTCATTCATGTGCATATGTAGTACATCAATGTAAAAATAAACTTAGTCTGATGGAGTCCTAGAGCACGAAACATGTCACACAAAACATTTTTCCACTTTGTCATGTGGGTTTCCCCTAAAATTTTATTTCCATTTTTTCTCATTATATAATTTTCTTTTTATCTGAATCTGTTCCTTCCTACCTACCTACCTACCTACCTATCTATCTATCTATCTATCTATCTATCTATCTATCTATCTATCTATCTATCTATCTCAGTCTGTTCATATCTATCTATCTATATATCTATCTTATTGCCTTCACATCTATCTATCTATCTATCTATCTATTTTAATGCGTTCACATCTATCTATCTATATATCTATCTAGCTATCTCAGTCTGTTCATATCTATCTGCCTATCTATCTTTGTCTGTTCATTATCTATCAATCTATCTATTTTTAACTGTTCATTATCTATGTCTAGCTATCTATCTATCTATCTCAGTCTGTTCATATGTATCTATCTATATATCTATCTATCTATTTATCTATCTCAGTCTGTTCATTATCTATCTTATTGCCTTCAAATCTATCTATCTCTCTATCTATCTCAATGCCTTCACATCTATCTATCTATCTATCTATCTATCTATCTATCTATCTCAGTCTGTTCATATCTATCTTATTGCCTTCACATCTATCTATCTATCTATCTATCTATCTATCTATCTATCTATCTATCTATCTTTACCTGTTCATTACCTATCTACCTATATAGGTTAACATTTTTCTTGATGTTTTATTCTTTGTTTATTTCTCTCTCACTGCTGATATTTGGTTTGCCCTGAAAGAAGCAAGAAAGAAAAGCAGAAAATATTTCAGAGAATTTCATTTGCTCTGTTTACCGAAATTTTGGCCTGCATGGCCTTCAATTATCTTGCGTTGTTTGCATGAGAATGAACTGAATTCCAAACCAAGTGACCCTGAATTCCAAACCCAGTGACCCTGAATTAGAAAATGAACCAGCTGTTCAAATGGAGCTTGGAGAGAATAAAATTTAAAAGAAACCAAGAAATGGCATATGAAGATGATCTATGTAAATTGTTCAGGCTGAATTCCATTGTAACCGAAAGAATCGTTATGAGTTTTTCTGGCTGTTACTCTAATCATTGCTCTTTCCTTCGTTAGCAGCTTGCTTTGTTTTTCAAGTCATTACTGGAATATAAATACAGATGGATGTTTTACTAAGGAAGTTTTAGGCATGAAAGTTGCCAAAAGAAAGAAAAACTCCATAGCAGTTGTTATTATCATATAATATATTAAAAATGTATATATTTGATGAAATGTATATTTTCTTGCAAACAAAACATTACAGCCAGTTATATTGTTGATTGCACGAATATTTGATTAATACTAGAAACTGTTTTCTAAAAACCGCCTAAAGAACAAAGTCTGTCTGATATAAATGTTTGCTTGCCTAATCATGCCATAAGCTTGTTTCTTCTTTTTCATCTTGAAATGCATGAAAACAAGTTTGTAGCCTGAGAATTTGAACTGAAATTGTATTGAAAGCATAAAAGCTGTAATTAAATCTACTTACACTACATATGCATGCATACATAAATATATATATATATATATATATATATAATTATTTATTTAAAAATATGATTCCAAATCGCGACATAAGAAGTCCCATGTTTCAAAACAAGAGCCGAAAACTTCAATATAATTATTTAAATTATTTAAATTAAATTGAGTTAAAATAAGCTCTGTTCCATCTTCAAGCGAATTCGGAATGGAACAGAGCTTATTTTAACTCAATTTAATTTAAATAATTATATTGAAGTTTTCGGCTCTTGTTTTGAAACATGGGACTTCTTATGTCGCGATTTGGAATCATATTTTTAAGTAAATAATTATATTTATGCTCTACTTTTGTATCGAGCACTATTTTTTAAAAATAATAACTAAAATACTAAGGGACTTTGGATTATTTACCTAATCAGTTCCTTCATATTTTCTATATATTTTCACATATATATATATATATATATATATATATATATATATATTTGTGTGTGGTTGATTTATTTCTTACAGTTTATCAACCCTTTGCATGTTATTTATAGCCAGAAAGTATTTTCAGATTTGAATAAGTTTTGTAGATAATAGTGATTTACTGATACTCATTCTACTTATTAACCCATAGCTGGGGAGAGAAGAGCTGGATTCATACCTTTCCCAAGGGTATTTGAAGTTAAGGGAATATAATGAACACAACTGGAATTAAAACACAGATCTCCAATTAAAAATTCCAAGCTGTCATCCACCTGCATATCCAAGCTTACAGCACTTTGTATTCTAAAGTTCAAATTCTCATTTTTAATTTTATATTTAAAGCATTCTAAAAACTAATATAATTAAAACTAATGCAATGCAATATTTATCATTTGCCAATTTAAAAAGAAATAAATATGAAAAATATTTTTTATTTATAAATTTATAAACATTTGCTAAATTATTAAAATATGTGAACCATTTATAAGGAAATCCTTATTATTTACCATTTTATAAAGTTTGAATCAATTGGCAATTAACCGAGGTTTTGCCAATTATTCCAATAAAAATCTAACAAATAAATAGTGTTTGTAATTTTTTGTTGTAAATTCTCAGAAATAAAAAAAATGTGCAAATTTATTTTCATATGTTTAGGTTTTATGAAAATTCTAATAATCACTTTCTAAACTGATAAAAATTGTTAAGTAGTGAATGTAGTTGAAATAACAATAATGTCAAGAGGAAAACTGTCCTGTTGACACCTCATTTTTTTGGAGGCACAATTGTCCATGTTTGCCCCAAATCTTTCTAATTCTCAATTCTCTCAGAAAAATTAAGTTAATCTCAGATGCTATATATATTTTTCATTTTTTTTATTTGATAAAATATTAAATGTTGTCTACTTTAGTGACTCTGTTCTTTTATATTGATTGTCAGTTCATGATAAATGTTTCTGAACAAAAGGGAAAGTGTTTTTACTGTGCAGAAACAATTTCTGAGTCAAAATAGACAGACAATAACAAATAAATATCTGACTGTGTCATCAAATCACTTTAAGTTAAATACAAATTTTAAAAGTTGATAATTAATTAACATTTCTTTTGTCAATATAATCTTTTTGCCGATTAAAAGTTTGAAAAATTGACTCAAAAATTTTGAACATTTGATTAATGTAAATTGTTTAAAAAAAAACAGAAAATAGCAGAGATTTTTTTTCAA